GGGAGCCCCTTGGTGTGGTTGGTGAGCAGATTGAACAGGGGCAGAGCTCCTACTACATATGCTAATCCAGATACACCTTATAAAAGGAGAAGGAGAGGTGCACTTACTGGAGAAATAGTTCAAATCACTGTTATGTGTGTGGGTCCTTCGTGTATCACACAACACCATGCTAGTGAGTTCTGTCATGCTCCAGCCCCTACTTCACATGCCACCCTTCCATGTTTCAGTCCATACTTCAGTGTCCAGAACCCTTATCGGCCCCTGCCCTTATTACGGCGATTATTGCAATATATCAAAATAAATTAATTCCCTAATACAAACCTTCTAACAATCACAAGTTACTAAATGTATGAAACCTTCCGAATTAAAAATTTTATACGAATGTAGCCGTTAGCCGCGTAGCTCAGTCAGTCTAGTGGCAGACTACGGACCAGACGACAGGGGTTCAATCCCCAAATGGGGGCAGAGGATTTTTCCTCTAGCCTCTGCTTCCGTACTGGTTCTGAGGCCCGCCCAGCCTCAAACGAGTACCAGGGTCTTTCCTGGGGATAAAGCACGGCTGGTGTGTGACATTAACCGCTCATCCCCATCTACAGCCGAGGTTAAGAATGAGTAGGTGCTATGTCTCCTCCTCCCCATGCGCCTACATGGCATATAATGGGACAGCTTTATTTTTTTATATCAATGTAGCCACAAAATATATGAAACAACCAACATTCTACAGACAAAATACTTTGTTGCAGCATTTTTGCCGATCGAAAATCTGATCTGGGCAAACCACGAGGACCAACACAAAGTTCTCGGTACTGCTAGGTAGAAAATTACCTTGAAGCAATAGAAAATTTATGAAGAATCGTCTTAGTTTGTGTCTCTGATGAATGAAACTCCTTCATTCCAGAAGGACTGGTGAGCTGGCTACGACTTCTACTGCAAGCATTAGAAGATTCCAAAATACTGGAACGTTACTCATCCACGATCTCATACGTCAAAACGCGTATCAAGGCACCTGTTTTTTGCATGGCCTACTCAGATAATGAGACACAAGCATCCATTTTAAAAATCAACAAGTTTCCCCTGTTATCACAAACGTTTCCTGTCACCATGCAGATATGTTGTTACGGTTGCATACCTTGGCAGAGTCTTTGAGGTGGTTCATGGACGGATCGTTGATACTCTTGCCAGAAGCAGCTTTTGTTGCCTGAATCAGATCTCCCAGAGCGGACGCCACGTCCTTTACAGCGTTGATCAGCATCACCTGTTGAGCCAGTGGGGTTAACATTATTCACATTCAATTTTATTTGTATATGCGCACGTGTTCAAACAAGAACACAGCTAACCTGAGCTTCAGGGTTATTTGAGCCTAGGGATGCAGCTCCGAACTTGACAACCTCGGCCAGTTGCACGATGGTTGACACGGCATTCTGCGCGGCAACAGCTAGTTGCTCCTGTGAGGATGCCGCCCCTACAAATTGTTCATGACAGATAAGCGCTGTATTCACACCTAATTTCCCATTAACTTCAACATACTTTTCTTACAATCAATTATGTTACAGACAACATATAATTTTAACCACAAACACAAATTAGTAACACCGTACCTGCAACCAGTGTCTTCGTGTCCTCCACCAAGGCCTTGGCTGTCTTCAGGATGTTTTCTCGATGGTCAGCAAATGACTCGTCTTCGTTCTCCGCGTGCAGTGTGCCGGCAGTAGCGAACATGATGGTTGTATCAAGATCGCCAATTATACCTGATACGGTGCTTGCTGCGTTGATACAAGCCTGCGTGCCCCGAGAGCCAGCCTGAAGGGCTGCCAGCACCTGCGAAACCTAAACACAAAACAGAACATGACAATTCCAGAGCTTTATGAGTCGGAATATTACTTTGAACAGCCATGATCAACATACACATTTCTTCTTCTTCTTCTCTTAATGTCTTTGGTAATGGTCTTTTTTTTAATACCTAAAATCTCTACATTCTAAAGAACAGATCTTCCACTCTACAGGCAAAAATGAGGCAGACACTTCTCTGCTGGATCTGATATATCAAGTCATTCCAGATCATAAATAACTTGGTCTACTGAATCCAACAGAACAAGTGTCTCACACTCTAGTCTGAAGACGGAGCCAGTCTCTGGAACAGTAAATTTTATAATTTCAGATTTTCCTTAAATTTTTAAAGAACACACAATGGATAACATCTTGCCAAAGAACCATAATACAAGCACTCACCTTCTCTGAGACGTGTCGCGCACCGTCAGCAACATCTCTCTGCGCAAATGTATCACCTTGTGGCGCCATCTGACAGGCACCACCTGCCTTCACCAACTCCAGACACGCACGACCCAGCTCCTGAACACCTGAACGTATGCGCGATGACACATCCGCGTTGGAAGTAGCCGCAGCTGCGCCAGTGGCATCTGCAGCCAGCTGTCCATATTGGCGAGACAGATCAGCACCAAGGGCTCCAAGACGTGCCACATCAGTTGCAGATTTCGCTACCTAGGGACACAGTTTGTCTATTTAAAGCTCAGTATCAGGTTCATCACTCTCAACATTGGGTGAAATGATGTTTCCAACAAACAATCATTATACAGCGAACTGAAACCATCTTCATTACTTCCGAATTTATGACTAAACTTGCCCCAATAGTTCTCTGGAAACTGGCATTACAATTCCAGTTTTCAAAGCATATAACAGAAGCACATTACTGCATCCCACTCTCATGTCATGACATTCCCTTCGACACCTTTCTTTACATTCATGTTCTAACTCAAAGGAACACCAATTTCCCACAGTAATACAGGCCGAGAAGTAAAGATCACTTTGTCTTCAAGATACAGTCTTATAAGGCAGACAGCTGGACCAAGTTTTGTCTCCGACTCACCATTTCCTGCGCAATCCTGGCCACCTCTTTGGCCGCAGTAACCATCCGCGTCTGGTAATCCACAAAGCTAAACTCGCCGGTCTCAGAGTACGTAGAGTGACGGTGACTGCTCTCAGTGACACGTGTCATCGCACGAGTGATGGAGTCCATAATGCCCGTCACCACACCGGCTTGTGTTGCGAGGTGTTCCAGCGTCTTGCCCATATCCTGGAGCGAGTCCCGTGTCGCATCCACAGACTCGTCAATATCAGGATGGATGTTTACTGCCTAGAAATGCGGATAAATTTGAATTAGAATCACTGCACTCCACATGATACACTGACTAAAGTGAGTGAACGGTGGGCTGAAACAGTCCCTTTGTACCGCAGTCTCAAATGCGTCATGTGGACTGGAATGTAAGGAAGGCCAAGTTTGTGTAAAATCATTTGGAAATAAGTGATTCTGGCCTATGTGAAAGTATTGTTTTCTCACGACAAATCTCAGCCAGACCAACCTTGCCAAGATTAAAACCAGATACCTTATTAACACAAAGCAGAAGCGCCAACTGCATGACTGTGACATTTAGCAACTTATAAGTCAGAAATACGTCTACGACTGACTGAGCGCGTGCAACTCACCTTGGGATTGCCTCCTCCTTCCTTGGTTGCATACATCAACTGCAAGGCACATTCGGCCACTGTCTTTGTCTGGTCGAGTAGCACCATCTGCTGCTTCGAGTGCACCATGTTGGAGGCAGCACCAATTGCACCAGCCACCAGTGGTTCAAAATACAGTACCATTTGGTTCACCTGTACATTTACATCACAGACATGTACGCCAAAATAAACATCAAGCATCACTTTGGCTTTCAAGTTATGTGTCATGATCAACTAATGTGCTCCCTCCGCTCGCTATGTTTGCTAACGTGTGATGGCAACACAAATGGAAGAAATATCACTTTCTCAGAATAAAAACACAACACACCAAGTTATGGGACACTGACAAATGTGGAAGATCATATTTTCTTCATGAAACAACCTGCACAACTCTTAGAACAGTAAAAAAAAAACCTCGTCACTGAATAAAAAGCGAATCTGTGTGGAAGATCTCAGATTATTCTTTCGAAGAAGGGAGCTATATGAGATTTTAAGTTCTCATGTCAATGTTGGATTTCTAGGTTATAATGCCATGTGAAATTGTAAGTAGATACTAGAATAGTGTTTTGGAGAATCATACTGCCTCTGTCTTAAGGGCAGACCACATGGTGTTACAACCGAGAAGACCAACGCCGACAAGTAAAGCCGCTGACTCACGGCATGACCGATGTTCTCAGCCTCGTATTTGGCGGCAGATCGAACAGGCTCCAGCTTCTCTGCAATTTCATTCGCTGAGCTTTCCATTTGGTCAGTGAACCCCTGGAGTGTGTTGTCACGTCGTTGAGGCAGACTCTGAGACACGGCTGCCAGCGACGTCTGGTCCAGATCCCGGATACGGGCACTAAGCTTTTCTATGGCGTCATCACATTCCTTCTGTCCTGGGGCCTTGTCCCTGGCAATTAAATACCATCAGATCTAGTAATGGATCTGCAATTTCTGCTTATTACAGTCTCATACTTTAGCTTATCACATTGATAAAGATGACAATCTTCAAATACAAATATTTCGATCTCCAAGTTCACAAAATTCAAGAACTACCGCAGAAATTTCAGTAGCAATCAGGAATCAAACTGGAAATCATTCCTTGACATGATTCCATGCTAATACCAGGGAATAAACAAATATACGAAACAAATACTACTATTCTTCAAAATAATAAATCTAACCAATCTTCCTCTGCATGGTTTTATTTATTAGTTTTAACCTGGTTTCAAGAAACAGCCCACCCTAGAGCAAGGCTTGGATCTTAGACAAACCACATCAAGTGGAAACATCGTAAAAAGACTTATTTATTTTGGTGTGTGGGGTGGGGGGCCACATTAAAACATATTTTTTTATAATTTTCTTTCCAGTTTCTTGTACACTGTAACAGTCTTACTGACTACAATTCTAATTATTTCAATATTTTTCTATTTATTTTGTGGTTAAAAATTGTGCAAGCCCCTGTCAATCTCAATCATTTCAACTAACATTAAGAGACACGAAACATAGACACAAAACTTTCCGTCTAGCCAACAATTTAGACTAGGAGAAAAAAACTCACCTGATTGATGTAACAAGCTTCTTAATTGAGTCAGATACACTCTTGCTGTGATTGGCTAAGAGTTGCCAAGTGGGAGGGTCCCTAGGACTGACAGCCAATGATTTGGCAGCGCGAACCATGGAGCAGGAACCATCTATTATGGCACGACCAGATGATAGGATCGGTTCCTGAGCAGCACGTGCACCTACGCTGATTTTGGCAGGTTGACTGGAAAACTCTGGTGAACCTGCAAATGTGCACAGGCTGTCCACTGCATCCAACAACGGTTTTGTTGCGGCAGCACAGCTTTCACGGTTGTGCTCGCTATAATCCTGATCCAGGGCTGTCAAAAATGAAACAAACATTCACATCGCATCATAAAAATCCAACACGTTAGTTTGCAACTTAAAAAAGACATGGTTTCAAACCACTGACCCACATAAAACAAAAACAAACTTGAACAAAGTGAAGAGTGTCGGTATGACAGTTAAAACTGAAACAGAGTAGACGAAAGTGTTTAAGTAATGATCTACGTCAAATATTGTAAAGGGTGTTTTAAGTCAAGAAAGATAAATTAACTGGGGCATGTAGCATGCACAGCGAGAACCAAGACATTACAAAATTTTGGGTGAGAAAACTTATGGGAAAATACCACTTGGGATAACAATCTGTGGATCACAGGGTCATATCAGAATGGCTCTTAAAGCAATAGGCTATAAATGAAAATGCAAATTGGACTCAACTGGTTCAGAATGGAGCCTTTACGATAACAGCAATTAAGATTACGACTCTAGGGAACACCATGGCATTAAAATATGTAAATGAAATGCATAATTAGCACTCACCCTTAATCTCTTTCACAAGGTTTGCAGTTGAATTGGCCACATCTTTGGCAGACTGGACAAAATGTCGCTTTGCAACAGGATTTGTTGTCTTAGAAGATGCCATACGGCACGCATTGCAAAGTGAACTTGTATGCTTGGCAATCACCGTTGCAGCTGACAGCACCTGCGAAACATTACAATCACAGTCAACGAATACTGAACAGACTACAAAAGACAATCACATCATACAACACTATCATCGTACCTGTTGCTGATTGGTTGTTGGGTTGGTCAGGTGTTGGCAGGCTGTCTGGATGGATTGGGCAGCACGTGCGAACTGCGCCTGGTCCACAAGTCCTGGACGCCCAGCAACACTGGACGGTTCTGACACTCCTACCAAATAGGCAGCCTGTGCCGCAGCTTCAACCAGGCCACAGATTGAATTTGAAACATCCTTCACTGCCTCACCAAACTGCTCATGTTCCGACTTCTTGGCATGATTCGCAATGCCTGTCATGCCATCCCCTGGAAATCATATAATTTCACATTTATCAAACTTTTTTTAACTTTACAGAGCGTGTATGCGGTCATAAATGAGACATGGACTCACCCAGACTCTTTGATTTCTCCATAACAGTGTCCAGACACTCAAAGTACGAGGAGTCATTATGTGGCTCTGTGGGGTTCTCTAGCAGGGGTCTCATGGACTGGATCTTGCGTATTGCGTTGTCACACTCCTTCTGTCCTGGGGCAGCTGACGTGCAGACGTCAATCAGGTAGTTGATACTTTCAGTCACCATCCTGAAATTACCAGGCATGTTTCAATTATCTCTCCTTGTATAACGCAACAATAATTGATTCGTTAAAAAATACAGAAATTTACGCCCCTTCATTTATTTATTAAGTTACATGAACTTCACCACACACAGACAACGACTGAGACAAAGCAGACAACAGGAAAAAGAACTTTTAACCTGGCACAAGCATTAAGATGCCTAATCTGTGGAAACAAACAGGACTTCTTACTCCATCTGTTGACATGTTGACATGCTTCCTCTCACCTGGCTGCTGCAGCAAGCTGGTTCTTGGCATTTGGTGCTGATGGATTAGCAGCCACAGACTTTGCGGTCACTAGCAGCTTCGAGGATACCAAGGAAACATTCTTCAAGGACACAACCATTTGTCCCTGTACTTCCTTATCCTACAACATCAACCACATTCATACGGTTAACCATTTGCTTACCACACACATTCAAGTTACATCATCATCAATGCAAATAATTACCCTCGTTTGTCCAGCCATTTCCATGCTCACGCCCAGCAAATCTCCAAAAGCTGTGCCAAACGTGCGCGATGACGTAGCCAGCTGCGTCGGGCTGCATACGGATGACACGACATCTGCCGACGCGTCGTTAAGGTTTGCAGCCGCAGAATTGAGCTCCTGCTGCAGTTGTCTGTAACAAAATCGTTATTATAATGACGTGCTTGCGAGGACTTCCAACTGCAAGAAACGCGTTCATTGCGATATAACTCACCCATATGACTTGTTGCTGTGAGGGAACTCCCCTAGGTCAAGGATCTGTGATGCGTCTGTAATGGTGTGAATTGCCTCATCTACATCCATTTGTCCTGGGAGACAGCCCACACACTTATTCAGAGCCTAATGTTCAAGGAAGAAAAGTAACACGTAAGTCACGACAGTCATCTATCTCATCGATCGGTCCAGCCACCTATCCATCCATCTTACCTGAGACACATCTTTGGCAACCTGTGCAAGGTTCTGTGCATTGCTCTGTCCCTCAGGATTCTGAAGTGCTTGCCTTGCCTCCTCAATGAGGCGGAGTGACCGCTCCATGACATCATCTGCGCTGGAGATAATCCTGCAACACAACAACTTAGGCAGGTGAAAACATTGTTCTGACCACACCAAACTTTTGTGTAATGTTATCAATTGCCACTTTCTAAGATTCATATTAGGCTTATCACATTAACACGTTCACTTCCAGGAATTCTGCTGCTGGCCGACAGTTATGGAGCATCAACAGCAAATTGCTGCACGATAAAAAATTTTGTATGACGCGCAGAGTGATCAGTTTCTCTGGTCCTAAGAAACGTCACACTTAATACTGCTGGGATTTGTAAATGCTACTCATAATAAGAAAATGGTTAAATTTATGACTCCATAAGATACATATCTGTCAAACGCCAAAGCGATACAGAAAACACAAGCTCTTTCTTCTTCAAATGTACGGAACTCACTTTGTCTGTGTATCACGGTTCTTTGTTGTCGCAGCCACACCTCGCACTGATATGGTAAGGTCTCGGAGAGCAGACGACGTGTTCCTTGCAGCGATACCTGTGTAGTTCTCATTGCCCTGTGCTGCAGCACTCAACAGCTGAGCCATTGCAAAGCCCACGTTCTTAGACGTGCTACCCAGCTGCAAAGCAGCTGACTCGGCCTGAAACACATCCATCTTACTGTTGAAACAACACAGGTTTTAAACTCACGTAAAATGTTAATTGTACGTCTAAGGCAAGTGAATCTGAAATGGTGTCGCCTTATCTCTCATTACCACACTAACCGTTTCTCCTGGTAAAGGCCTGAGCTCTGCCCTCTCAGCAGACCTCTGGAAAGCTTCTAGTTCAACTTGCAGGCTGCGGATCAGTTCAGAAGCCGAGTCAAGTTCCAAACCAGTGCAAACTCCACGCGCACGGTTAAGGGCAGTACGCAAGTCATCAAGTGCTGCCCCCAACTGCTGCGAACTTGTATTCAACTGGAGTGCAGATGACTGGTCTGAGACAGTTGGTAACACTGCACGAGCTGACTGAACCACTCTGGCACCAGGCTGCACGATATAACGAATCGTACGTTTAGTGAAAGTCATACTTCCTAATCCTTCAAAACAAAACACATTTTTTAAAGTTCTGTTTCAACACACTCAAAAATCAATGAGATTTCCAAGTTTTTAATGAAACGTGCACATCAATTTCTGATATCCTGGTTTTTACTTACCAAGGAATAATGACAAAACAAACAATTAAATATGGTAGTAGTGAGCATCGAGTACACTGTTCACATATTTCACAGAGACACGAAATGAATACCACATTTTTTCCCTCTTCAACTACCACAACCTTCACTGCTACACATCAACAGCCAATGGTCACATTACCAACTGTTCCACACAGAAACCTAGATCAGAAGAGCGAAGACACATCAACATGACACTTTCAGTAACTGCCCCTACGTTCTGCATAACAAAACGTGTTCTTTGCTGGGCTGATCGCATACCTGTAAGAACTGCTCAGAAGCATTGATGAGGTTCAGCTGAGTTGCTGGGTTCTCGGGGTTGGAAAGCGTACCCTTGACGCCTTCCACGAGCCTTGGGATGTTATCTGCCATGGTCTTGCAGTCACCCATTAGCTCCTCCTGTGAGGACTTGTTAGTATTATGATGTGCCGCCCCCTGAGCCGCTGCAATACATTGCGTTGCTGTACTGGCTGCGTTCTTGGCTGCTGCCTGCCAACAAGTTCAGTTATAACAGTGCATAAACAGACTGATTCATCCACTGTCCCAAACGCCCAACTGAAGGCTTCACATTTCTCACCTCGAGTCTTGTGATCAGTTTCCTCCGCAGTGCTGGAGTGGCCGCTGCGGTCGTAGCAGCGCGTAGTTCTTCGACTGCTTCACATAATTGGTTCTGGCGCTGAGCATCATGCGGGCTTGACGCACAGAGACGCGCCGCTTCCACCATGCGAGCCGTAGCATCAGCTAGGGTCTTTGCTGCGGCTAGAAGACGGCGCTGTATCTCGGAGTCAGGCTGCTTTTCTGCCTCTCCCTGCAAACACCATGTTACATCCTTTTATACAATTTATTTATTTATGGGTGTGATGCTTAAAATAAGCCCACTGCACTACCCCGACAATGAGAACGTTGAGGTTTGTATGGAGCACCGGTAGAATGACAAAAGATGAAGGAAAATCAAAGTACTCAGAGTAAAACCTGCTCTATTTTCACTTTAATGACGACAAATCACCAAATGTAGCACCTAATTGGTTAGCACTTCTGGTGAGGTGTGGGTTCAAACCTTAGCTTGCTCACAGACTGACTGAGGTAAGCGTCTACACCAAGAAAATAATTCATCCACCCCGATGTATGTTATATGGCACAACACTGCTTCCTTCTGTACCGACACTATTACCTTTATCGCCTGTATGAGCTGAGCAGTGGCTTGTCCCAGCACTCTGGCTTGGCGCACCATCTCGGCCGCATCTCCAGTAGAAGCAAACAGTCGGTCAGTGGCAACTAATATCGCAGTCCATCCGCCTCGACGTATGGCCAGCCACATCCACATAAACATGTTATGTGGCACAACACTGCTTCCTTCTGTACCGACACTATTACCTTTATCGCCTGTATGAGCTGAGCAGTGGCTTGTCCCAGCACTCTGGCTTGGCGCACCATCTCGGCCGCATCTCCAGTAGAAGCAAACAGTCGGTCAGTGGCAACTAATATCGTCTCTACAGCACCCTCTTGTACGCTCTCACGTGCCTTCTCTCGTGTCCCCAACCTGAAAAATAAAGAACTGTTAGATACCACAGATCCAAAACATACGAGGGAATAAGCATCGTCATAGCGATAACAAATATCTGCTCCTGCAGCAAAAAATGTGACTCACTTAATGTGGTTCAGCAAGTCGTTGAGTGTCCGAGTAACCTCTGACGCAGCCTGGCTCAGTTCACGCAGCAAGTGTTCATCTGTACAGCTCTCGTTGCAGATAGTGATGAGCCCCTCAACGGCACGTGCCACCTCGCGTACTGCAGCCATCAGCTGCTCCTGACACGCCGGGCTATGCAGAGTTGGTGCGACAACCTGTAACAACACACGAAACAAAACTATACAAATATGGGAGCCAAAACTGCGAGAGAAAAATTATAAGATATTATACAACTGTGAAAATGTGCCAGATAGACAGAAGAAAACTCTCACCTTGGCACAAGCAACAAGCTGTGAAGTGGCAAGGGCACATTGGGTGGCAGCTCCGATGACCTTGTTCTGCGTGGCCTGGTCATCACAGGTCGCAGCAATGTTCTTGGCTTTCAGTACAAGAGCAGCTGTCGTGTTAGCAACGACCTTGGCAAGTCCCAGTAGGATATCCTGTAGCTCACGACTTGACTCGTCCTCATGGCCGATGGTTGAAAGAACTTGGTGGGAGGCTTCGCCCACACGACTCGCAGCATTAAGGAGGTTCTGGCGAGGCTGAACAGACATCACATCAGCTTCAGAAATTAATTATTAGAACATTATGTTCATTGGGGTCAATGACATTTATTTAAAAAATGCGCTGCACTTGATATTTCTGCAAACTGTTCTACGCCATTGAACATTAGCAATACCTCTTTGGTTTCAGGGTCAATGACATTTATTCAAAAAATGTGCTGCACTTGGTATTTGTGCTAACTGTTCTACGCCACTGAACATTAGCAATACCTCTTTGGTTTCAGGTTCGGCAGCCTTCAGAAGGTCACTGAAAGCTGTGCAAAGTTTGCGAGCAGCATCAAGCAACTTGTCCCCAGAGCTCTCGTCTTCCATCAACGCGGCAATCATTCGCACGCCCCTCGTCATTTCTGGCAAGTTGCTAGTGATGGTTGTGATGGCAGCACCTACTGCAGTATGGTCCACCTCATCTGCTGAGCCTGCGACATAAAGCAATACACAGTGCAACTCCATCAATCTTAAATATGGTGATATAAGGAGTAATGTCCACTTCCTACATGGCGGACAAAATTAAATATATAGAGAGATTAATCTGTACCTGATAAGAATGAACATCACAGCCAAAAAGGAATGCAAACTCACAATAAACTCATTTTTACTCGATTTAAAATGAGACATCTTTTAAGAAATGCATGAATCTGACGTGTTTCAGCATCCACACGAGACAAAGCACTCACCTGATGTCAGGGTGACAACCTGTGCAGTGGCGGCATTCATTGCTGCAATCTGGGAGCTCACATTCTGCTTGTTCGTGTCGAGCGTCGTCTCCTTCCATTTCAGTGATGCCTGTATATAAACGCAATTAAATCAGTTCCATACTTTATTTTGAATATAGGTACGTCTCAACAGATTTGTGGTTATTTTCAGGGTCCACATCTTCTTTGGCATCATTGCATTTACAGTCATTCACAGGGAATGAAACATTTGCGTAATGGCAACTCTTTAAAGCATTTTGGTCATCTGAAGACGTATGGTGACAAAGGCATGCCTTGAATAACATCATGGTGAGTCTCAGTGTTGATCTTCAGGGTTGTAATACTGTGTGGACTTGTAAATAAATATCAGCATTTATCTACCTACAAGTCCACAAGTGACATGACATCCCAGGAGACCAACATCGACATCTTCACTTCCCTGGAAGCCTAAAACCTGACAAGCGTCAGTATGTTTATTGTAAACTACTATGACTTTGAAGATCTCGTCTTCTGGGTTGTTCCGCTGTGTAGTCTGGTCGATGTTTGCCAACGTTTCTGAGGTTGTACGGTCTCCGTCATCAGGGCGATGACGGAGGCAGTATGACCTCAGAAACGTTGGTTAACATCGACCAGACTACACAGCGCAACAACCCAGAAGACAGAAATCTTCATACTCACCGCTGCGAAAACATCAAATCTTACATACTATGACTTTGCGTAGCTTTGTTAACTGCAAAACTCTACAGATTTCAAGTTACTCACGGGATCTGAGCCAAGCTCTGGTATCTGAGCCTTTGTTTCCAACTCCTTCTCTACCGTGACTATAACATCATGGCCAGCACTAATAGTGCTCAGAAGAGCCCTCTGTGGCTCTGAGAGAACACTTGTTATTCTTGACTGTTGCACCTGTAAGAAGTACCAACTCTCAAAACACAACCTTCACTACATGTTTCTGCTGTACGTCTGGAAGCTACAAAATGGGGATATTCTTTATTTGACAAACTCAGGTTAAGATAACAAAGCGGAAAAGTGTACAAAAATACAAACGCAACAGAGGCTGAAAGGCATTAATTCAGAGTTACGTTTTTCTATCGCAAAGTGTGTAAAAGCGCAAAGAACACAGAAATTTAAGCCGTCAATTCAAGTAAAGATATTGACGCGGAAAAACGTTTAAATGTACAAACAACATATTGCCTGAAAGGCACCAAAACACAAAGACACAAAAGTAACCGCATTTGCGGAGCGATAACAAAGTGTATGTACCTACTCTGAGTCCTTTTACAGGAGCATGTAAAAAAACAAAACACATAATTAGGAATGCGTATAATGAATGCTTGCGAGAGCATCCAAGAGCTCCCCAAGCGAAAGTTCTTACCATGGGCGGGGCATGGGCAAGATTTACCTGCCCACTGACAGTCGTGTACTGGGCACCTGCCATGTGGCCTGTGCCATACGGTCGGGCTCCTGAAACATACGTACAACCTTTGAAACGCCTCCCTCCATTTTACCCAAGATTAAAATTATAAAAATATTACTTAACATCATTTTTCCCAGGCTCACTTTACCTGCAAAACATAAGCATTCGATACCACAAAATAAAACTGTGACAAATAAAAGCTTAAAAAATTTAATCTTCAAGAAAGCTTCACGTGTACAATAATCATGCCGCCGTACGCTACAATAATGACACCCTACAACGACCAGTATTTCCATCTTTTCTGAGATTTTCATAAACTCTGAGACTTCTGGGTTGAAATCCCCCCCAACCAAAAACTCAGTCCTATGTCAATATCACACGAAGGTGGTGATATTCGAACAGAAGAAAGGAACGGTGACTGTCTTCTGGGATATCGTACAATGCAGTCTCACAGAAACTGACTGACTGATGTTTCAAAGGTTCTTACTGCGGCTGGGAGATTTCTCTGATGATGTAGGCAGTAAATATCTCTGAAACATCTGTCAATTTCTACCAGACTACACAAGTCAACTCCCCAGAAGACAGTCATCCTCAGTATTATAAAGTGACACTGTTACACTGCGGAAGAACTCACCATCTGCACCTGCACGCATGATGGCAGGCTTCGCCAGCGACTCTGTGTTCACCCTGCCAATCTTGCTCGTCTCATGTTGCAATATGGTAGCCCTGCCAGTACAAATCAACGAGTGATTATCGGCTCTCCGAAATTTATAGTAAGCAATCAGCTGTTAGAAGACATTATGTCCTGAAATACGAGGTGTTATCCAAAAGTTATGAAAATGCTCCTGTTATGATACCACTGGTAACAGCTCGTCTTCTCCCGACAAAGTGTGGCAGAATTCTTTCTTGAAATGAAACTTGAGATCAGTATTTGGGGATAAATCACAGTAATAATTCACTGAATCTTATATTGTATCAAGCGTTCATTCACGTAAAATAATTCACGCCACTGAATAATAAATTAAAAACAGAAATGTCACCTACTTGAGAGGGGAGACGCTGTCCTCCACCATGGTTGAGCCCTCATCACCCTCGATACCAAAATGGTCCTTCGACTTCTTCTGCAAACATAAATAAGAAACCAAGTAAATAATTCCAAAAATTTTTTTATCACTTTGTACGACACCACACTATGCAATACCCCTTAACACTTCAGATAAATCCCTATTTTAAATATAGCACCATGTAGTCTGGTAGAAGTTTGCTAACATTTCAGATGTCGATAAACTTCTACCAGACTACACGGCGCTACAACCCAGATGACAGCCGTCTCCATACCCACCGCCGCAGGAACCTCAAATCATACAAATCCCTGTCTCCACCAAAAACTGCAAGCCCATAGCCAGTCACCTCACTAAAGTAAATATCCCAGCACCTCCACTGTTACCACCCTCTACAAACTGTACCTTCTTCAGTATGATGTCGATGTAGCCAGCAATGAGCTGAAGTATCTGCTCGGCCTCGGTCGTCTGCACGGAGTAATACTGGTCTGAATAGTCTCCAAAATCTAATGTGAATGTGTTGGGGGATGCACCCCAGCGTCGCACCGTCGTGAGTGGCCACGTCTTCAGAATTTCTTTTGTCTTCTCATCTAGACGCAGGACAGAATCCTTCGTCACACCCAGCAGTCTTGGGACCAGCTTGTTCTTACCCTTCATCTTCTCCTGCACAGGTAGCGCCAAATGCGCATTAGTTAACAAAATGCACTTTTCTGACTATAATTTCTCACCCAAGTGAATTCAAAAAACTCAGCTGTGGTTCTCTGTGATTTTTCTCAGCCTTTCCAACAAACGATGGAACATGTTCCAAAATCTTTCTTACCTACAATTTCCATAAATAGCTTGACATCTCATCTGATGTTAAATAACCCCTGCAGATGAAAGTGTCATTAAATATCCTACGAATCTGCAACATTTTATACACATTTCTTTTCTCCTTACTTGAGCTACATACTCAGCCCATCACACGTTTTAAAACACGTGTAACTCCAGAACAAAAGCATAGATCACAAAGTTCCCAGAATTTGAGAGCTCGTTAACAAGAATCGTTCCGTAAATTTATTCGTAACCTCGCTGTGAGTGTAATGATCACATGCCAGTAGCATTACTGTCAACTGACATTCAGCATGCCTGCTCACCCCCAGCTGCCACCTGAGACAGTACCTTGACAAGGAAGAATGTGACACCGTACGTCTTGAGAGACCGAGCTGTTTTGGTGTACAACACCTTGGCATCAAGCTCAGACAGCCCGACATGCTTCTTATGTTCGGCGAACACCTTCTTCTCGATGCCCTTAACCTTGGCATATGACTGCGGCAGGAACTCCTTGAGGCTGCGTATCAACATGGGTGACATATATATAAATAAAAAGTCATGAAGAAACAATGACTTATCTATGGGTTTCAATCATCCATCATCATTCCATGTGATCCAAAAGATGTAACGTAACCACACTTATTTATCTTTATCACAATTCTTTTGCTTTACCATAAATAAAACATATTGTACTGTATCCGTATGAGAAGAAGGAACAGAACGGTAATGGACGAAGGGTAGCAGCCGAAGACGCTCATCAAAAAAAGAATCTGCATGTGTAAGAAGAAAAGGAAAATTACACGAAGCAACGAGACAGTTGCAGTGTTACTCACTCGAGGAACCCCGGTCGATGTTTGCTCTCATTGTAGTCTCCGAACTGGATGTGGCACTGGATGCCAGCAAACTCGCACGTCTTGTCCTGCGTGACGGGGTGCGTGCCGTCCAGTATGGCATCGCGTGCCTGCACATACAGCAAGTTCAACTGCACAGGGTCCCGAGAGTCAATGTTCTGGTCCGAGAAGAAGAACTTGCGCCTCAACAAAACTGTTTCGCTTTCATCAATACCTTGTTCACGCAGAGTCTTCGACGGGTCTATCCAGTTCACTGAAAGAGTAAGAGGGCTGCTTGTACTGTTCTGATACCAACTTTACATGCAGTCTAGTAGATACTATTAAAAGAGAATGAATAAGGAAAAGACTGTGACTACGAGCATTCGATAAAACCTAGACACAAATATCTCAATAACAGTTAATGGCAAAATATTTAAAGAGATGGATACATTTATCCGTGAAGTAAAATTGATTTATAGGGAGAAACAAATGGAGATATCAATAAGAAAAACTCAAAAGTTCTAAATTATATCAATTATGGAAAGAGTAATATGGCACAAGGACATCCCAAAACAACTTATAACACACATTTTAAACAATTTCAAAAGTTTAATGACAAAATATGAAACCTTACAAAGACAAGAGCAAAACCCAAGAAACAGATAAGAAATGTTTCAAAAAATAATTTCAAAAAACCAGAACACAGTTTGGGCTGTGTAGAGAGGGTGGCAAAGACCATTAGCAATGAATCAGAAACAATGCTAAAAGGAAAAGAAGATAAATTTTCCTTTTACATCCCATAAATATACGGATTTTTATCACCCTTAAAAATCCATCGACCTCGGCCGGGATTGAACCTGCGAACCTTGGGTCCAGTGGCGAGCACGTTAACTACTAGTCCACTGACGGCAACTTTCCTAACAAGTAACACAGTAAAAAAAATACAACCTACCCTCATCATCTGTTTTCAGCTTCTTTCGCAACTGATCCATCTTGGCATCACGCTCCTTCTCCTCCTTCTTTCGTTTCAGTGTCAGTGTGCCAAAATTTGGTTTGTTTTCTAACTCCTCCTCTTGATTCTCACGCACAAGACTGTACTCATCATGGTTTGTGATACCTAGTAACAACACAAAATCCATAATTCATCACCGTAAAGTGTGCTGTAAACATTACCTGTCTAGATTATTATGAAACGATCATTTTGAAGTAAACGCAAACACATACCCACCTATCTTAGTGCAAATAACAACCATCAGGTTAGCTACTGGCTGACTGTCATCCACTAGCAGCGTCTTCAGTGTTCCGTCCAGCATCCTGACTCGTAGCGTTCTCAGTTTCTTGCGGTATTCCAGTAAGTCCTGCCAACAAAATACAAATAAAATACCCGCCCGTCTTCTGGTTTTCAGTGCGTTGCAATATCAATTATGTATATGACTCACCCCATTTCTGAGGATGTAGTACTCGAGGTTTCGTATCGGTTCAAGCCACACGCCCTTCTTCACGTCCTCATCGGCCAGAAACAATCCGTAGTCCTTCGCTGCAACACCATACAATTTTATGTACTACACACCTTTCCATCTCAATGGATGCGAAACACTTTCAAAGCTATTAGAACATACTACGTACATTATAATTGCAATATGAGCAATCTTATTTAATAACACTTCAATAACACAATAGGATCAATAAATAATGCATAATTATTAAATTAACATGAATTACAACTAATAATTACTGTTGGGAAAAAAATTATGAAAAACAGGAAACACTGAAAACCAAGAAGAAGATTAATCTTCTGAAGCAAAACTTACGCTGGCCCTGATTGGCTTCTGAAATCCTCTCTCGTATGATCCTGCACGCGTCATACACCGACGTCGTGGGATCAAACTGCATTGTCTTTGTCACATTCTTCTCCACAATGCTGATACGCAACGATAGTGTAGCCATGCTGTCGCCGTGTGAGTGTCTTTGCTGTAACGTAACATCACGGTCCATATGTCAACATGCATATAAACACACAGAATCTGGCCAACTGGACCATCGGTTAATCGGGGAACCCATTTATTTGGGACAAATCTTAAAGAACACATCTTTTTAATTCTATACCTGGAACTTCTCATAACTGGGGCACGACCAGGTCTCAGAAGTGCCACCAATAACACAACGATAAACCCAAGACCCATCTATCTACTGACTACGCCAGATGTTAATTCTAAATTTAATAAGAATCCTTTCAGTCAAAGGGGAGACTTTTCATGCATATAAAAATTAAAACAGCACAGAAGGCAATATCAGTGATACAAAGCACTTCAATGTGCTTAAACAGGTAATGCGATCGGAATCAGATCCCTCAAGCAGTTATAAATCAGCCTCCAGTTTACTGCTACAGTTAACACGTTGATGCGTCTGGAGACGCCGACGCCGGCGCCGGACCTGGCGGCGCCTCTCAGCGGTCGTCATGACAACACTCCCCTACGGCAAGCAACAAGGACAGAGATCAGCGTTTGTTAGGTCGGGCTGCGCCTTGCCCTGGTGTGACAGAACTATTGTGAAAACAGTTTATCAAGAGGTCGCCGCCACAGGCCCCCATCGTGAGCCAGATTAATCCCAGCAACACCTCACATCCTACAAGAATGGCGGATTCAGACTTTTTCTTGCATTATTCCACGTCTCGAAATTTCACAACCCACATGATTACGGTAAACGTCTGTAATGCTTTACGCGGTTGAAATGCGTAATCAGAAACGGGGAAGTCACGTCCTCCTACAAAGAGGACATCGAGTGGATGTGCCGGCGGCCTGGCAAATCCGCTATGAGCGATCACAGCGTCGGCAGCCGCCTTTCCCTTATCACAGCGGCTCAGTCGACAAATAATCTCACTGTATCAAGTCCTCCCTTCGTTTCGTTATGGTGTAACACGTGTTTTCGATGTCGTATATACGTAACAAAGTACAACACATGGGCGGAGGTAAAAATCCACATATTCTTTGCCTTGGAACTCGATGCGAAGTAATGTGTGCCTTTAAGCCAGGGTATCTCAACAATTCCCAGAACTGGGACCCAGAACGTAATGAACAGGGACAATTTATTGAAACTCCATAACAAATTATTACAAAATTCATTGATTTGTTTTTCAAACACTCTTTTTAATTCTATACCTGGAACTTCTCATAACTGGGGCACGACCAGGTCTCAGAAGTGCCACCAATAACACAACGATAAACCCAAGACCCATCTATCTACTGACTACGCCAGATGTTAATTCTAAATTTAATAAGAATCCTTTCAGTCAAAGGGGAGACTTTTCATGCATATAAAAATTAAAACAGCACAGAAGGCAATATCAGTGATACAAAGCACTTCAATGTGCTTAAACAGGTAATGCGATCGGAATCAGATCCCTCAAGCAGTTATAAATCAGCCTCCAGTTTACTGCTACAGTTAACACGTTGATGCGTCTGGAGACGCCGACGCCGGCGCCGGACCTGGCGGCGCCTCTCAGCGGTCGTCATGACAACACTCCCCTACGGCAAGCAACAAGGACAGAGATCAGCGTTTGTTAGGTCGGGCTGCGCCTTGCCCTGGTGTGACAGAACTATTGTGAAAACAGTTTATCAAGAGGTCGCCGCCACAGGCCCCCATCGTGAGCCAGATTAATCCCAGCAACACCTCACATCCTACAAGAATGGCGGATTCAGACTTTTTCTTGCATTATTCCACGTCTCGAAATTTCACAACCCACATGATTACGGTAAACGTCTGTAATGCTTTACGCGGTTGAAATGCGTAATCAGAAACGGGGAAGTCACGTCCTCCTACAAAGAGGACATCGAGTGGATGTGCCGGCGGCCTGGCAAATCCGCTATGAGCGATCACAGCGTCGGCAGCCGCCTTTCCCTTATCACAGCGGCTCAGTCGACAAATAATCTCACTGTATCAAGTCCTCCCTTCGTTTCGTTATGGTGTAACACGTGTTTTCGATGTCGTATATACGTAACAAAGTACAACACATGGGCGGAGGTAAAAATCCACATATTCTTTGCCTTGGAACTCGATGCGAAGTAATGTGTGCCTTTAAGCCAGGGTATCTCAACAATTCCCAGAACTGGGACCCAGAACGTAATGAACAGGGACAATTTATTGAAACTCCATAACAAATTATTACAAAATTCATTGATTTGTTTTTCAAACACGTCACCTACTCGGATTACATGGCGTTCATGTAAAATATTAAGATTCGTCCCATAACAAAACACCACGCTAAGAAGTCTAGGGGAGTGGAGATACAGCTCCACGCATTCACTAAAGATGTCCATGTTGCTTTATAAGCCACTAAATAGGAAGACGGGTCTGGACGTCATAACACAGAATAATCCCTGCCTGGAATGGAACCCTGGTCGCCCAGCCCGTCGCCGGGAACTTTATTGATTGAGCTATCCCGGATGACACTTACAGAAAGTTGGCATCCATTATGCCACGAGAGGGATTCAAACCCGCGTACCCAGTGTGTAGCCGGCCCAAGACCTGGTCCGAATTTGATAAATTAATAATTAGTAAACTTTTTATTTTCATATTAACCCAAAACTGCCAACGCGAACATAAAACCCCTCAAACTACAAGAAGCGAAATCTCTGATAAGCTAACAGTCGCTCAGCTAGTCAATTTCCCGCAAAACTCACTACGATCATTTCAGTCCACACCACCAACCCATTATATTAAAATCCATTTTAATATTATATCACTTCCGTTTACGGTTTCCTACCAAAATTTAGCATCAGTTTCTTGTCGCTCCCAAGAGTGCTACATGTCCTGTTCATCTTCAACCTTAAATTTATCATCCACTGATAAAGTTGAACGCAACCGTCTCTTCCCGGCTCTCGACAAGAACTTCTGTAAAACCGGAAAAATAATTCTGCTGTTTTTACGGAGCGACAATTGATTTGTACCACAAAAACCTCGTAGCGCTTAGAGGTGAGTCATGCAGTTCCAGTCGGGAGCCGGGAAGTGACAGTTGTGTTCAACTTTATCAGTGAACGGGCTGTATTTAGTGAAGAGGACAACGTATTAACCTCCTCACTGTGCAGTTTCCCCCAGCGTCAAACCGCGCGCCTTTATTAACGTTAACGGAGAACGTACTTGGAATTTCGATAGCGTCGCTAAATAAACATTCAATATGTAAAGTGCGTGCAGATCCAACACGCAGTACATTTGATTATAATGCAGAGATAATATAAATTACAATTAATTTTGCTCTTGGAATGAGTTCCTGAACTCCACACGCAAATTGTTAACCACATATCCGAAGTTTACACGAATATTTACGTGCACACAAAATATACGACTACGTTAGAAAGAAAATATCGTGACAAATTTGGACTTGAAAATTTTCAGCGCCTGATTTTTGTTGCACCGTGTGTCCAAACGCGTATAGCAAGATGATATAGTTGCGTCATATTGTGAAATTTAATTAATTATTCGATTTTTGTCCGTCTAATCACAATTCATATTTAAAATTTACAATTAAAATATCATTTTATGTTCCTCATCGAACAATCGATGTTCCAATTGTAAATCGATTGTTCGATGCGGAACATAAAATGATATTTTAATTATCTTAATTGTAAATTTTAAATATGAATTGTGATTAGACGGACAAAAATCGAATAATTAAGAGATAGCAAGATTATAATACAGAAACTTCATTCTTACGGAATAGTAATCACACCATTCCAACGCGTCATACCAGGAAGTATTTCCAACCTCCACTTAAAATTATTAATCCAATAGACCCTACCGCCATAACATGGTAACATCTATTTCATTATAAGAATCCTCCTCCAGTGTGGGTTCATGAATTCTGCGTCACTCACTTGAACGTATGTTCATTATTCAAGATACAAGACTACAGTTCAAAGAGGTGTTCAAAAGTTCAGAAACTACATTGCACAGTGTTAAATTATGTAGTTAACACACTTAATAGTCAAGATATTAAAGGCACAAAGTGATTTTGTAAGTTTCGCTTAACATTAAACTACGTAAGCTACCATATTTTTGTACAGTTAATCTACAACCATTGTACAAAAACCATTATTTTCTGTTCTGTTTCACATAAATAGCGATTATGGGCCAAATAAGAGTCCAAGATTAAATTCGCCGGACAAGTCTTGGGGAGTACGCCTCAATATAAAAAATATCTTAAACCCCCCCCCCCAAAAAAAAAGAACTGAAACACGAGGGAAGAATAAGATTTCCCAAAAAGTATTTCACTTAATGCAAAGAATGCCCAAAACCCGTT